GATGTAAAAAAGCAAAATTTTTGAAGAAAATAAGTGACTAATTTTCCTCCCCAATTCCTTAGCTTCAATTAGTAATATTCGGAGACAAAGAGTTTTTACGTCCCAACAGTTATGTTCGATTGAGTATGATACAAAAGCAAATATTTTTTGGGTGCATTGAGTGAATTGTAAATAATTTCCACACAACTGAATCGAGAACTTATTTATTGGTTCAAAAAATTGTCAAAGGATATACAGCCATTCGTGTAAAAGTGTTTATGTGCTTAGTTAAATTTAAAAAAAAAGAATTCGGAATTTGATATTTCAAGATCGGTGATTAATCAGTCGATCTCACTAGTCTCAAGTATGATAAATCTCAATAACATTCCATGTAAACTACTATTACAAGAAATCGAAATAAGTTTAATCTACCTTTCGTGAAATTTGTGTACAACAACGACCATTGACATTATATAACGATCCACATCCACAGTATAATTACTTTCAATAAACTAGGCAAGAAAAATATTGTAGAAATTTTATAACACTCGATTCGTATAAAGGGATGTTTTATTATGTATCTTTTAATCATATGTGTGTATTTCCTAGAATTATTGGAACCATAATTCAGAATTAAATTTTACGTATCTATCATATGTAATTTTATTAAACAACATGAATGTTATGCACTAAGTTTTGAAGACAGTAGATCTTTTTAACAGACCCTTAAGTGATCTGCCCATAGACGAGCAGCCCCTAGTAAATGGACATTTACTGCGTTATGTGGAAAAGTAACGTTTATCCTATCGTCTTCACATTAAAATTTATAAAGTTGTTATTTTGTGTATTTACTTATTTCCAGAAGCCATTTTGTTTTTGCTCATAATTAATACTTTATTATAACTAATATTTTATTTTAATTAATATTACAATTAAATTTATTTGTTCAAGATAAATATTCCTACCTGGAATTAAAAATTTTATCTATACTCTCCAATTCTTTTGTACAATATCATTCACTGGAATATAATTTCCCAATCGTCAAAAATTGTTCACGATTACACTTTTAAAAAAGCTATAACTGTCAAAATAAAACGATAAAATTGTGTCGAGAAACGTGTGAAGTTATTGTTAGTAATAAAACAGCTCGCTCAATCGATAACATCATTCAATAGATAATTTTCACAAAAATGTCTGATATATTAGGATCATGATAAAGCTGAATTATATAAAACGAGAAAAAAGATAGGTAGACGCTCCATTGATATTTTATTTTTAGCTAGTATATAAAATAACAAAAACATGGAAAATTAAACTGTTACTGCAAAATGTAATAGCAATATTACCAGCTAATGGTTGAAACCTATCACAGAGTACCTGCATCTAATTTTTAGATAATCGTAAGTCTTGAAATTGACATCTCTTTAAAAACAGAGAAGGTTATTTTTATTCATATTTGTATACTTGGCTCAGAAACCATCAGTTTCATAATTTTTATTAGAAGATGATATACAAATAAACTTGTCCATAGCCTTTTAAAGAAACAATTCCCTGTGAACAATTTTGTTTAGTCGAAAGATCTTATAAGAAAGACGAGTTTACAACGCGTAACTCATTTTCGAAGAAAAGTCAACTCGCACTGATTGGCTCCTTAACCGTTCCTTATAATAAGTAATACATTTTGATCTTCTCTCTATCCGAAATATTGTACGAAAGTGAAATGTAAATAGAACGTGTCGCGTTTTTATTGTTTCAATTCGCTTGTTAAAAGTGATTTATTTCTGGCATACGCGCGTGTATCGTAGTCAATAGTGGCCGCGTGTTTTAGTAACGCACAACCGAATTATTCTGTACCGTTTCGAACGATTTTATTCGGCGGATGTACTATTTACACCTGAACGTTCGAAATATTGAATGTAATCGAGGAGTGATGTCATGCTAGCGTAAACGACTGCGAAGTGAATCGATACGCGCGATACGCGTTCTTGATAGTGATTGACCCTTATGCCAATAACTAGATGTCCAATTCCAACGCGTGTTTAAAACATTGTTGCTCTTGAAAAATGGCAAAACCACTTTCGATTGCCTTTTATTAGTCAATTTAACATTGTTTCATGTCTTCGGCAGAAAAATCTGTGTAATAGATTTTCGATAGAAATGCACTAAACTTGCTGTATGAAATATTGATTATCGACATAGCTATGAATGGTGTCTATTATATTGCAGTAGACTGAATGACCATAAATGTTAATAATTCTGTAAATTTGACTCAAGTAAATTCTGTGTACACGCGTGTGTGATATTTTAATAGATTAATCTGTAAAATTATAAGCATATTTCGACTAACCGTTGAAATTGCCAATGATTAACAGCATAATAACATTGAAAAATTTGTGATATAATTATTACTTTTTAGTAGTTTTTGGGAAGCACTGTTTACATTCATTTTCGTAGTAAGATGGAACAACTAAACTCTCTCGAGATTTTGGTTTCAAGCAAAACTTTGTATTGAAATAAAGTAAGTGGTTGATCGCTCAACAATAATGAATTGAACGGTAACATTAATTGCTTTCCATGCATTTCTAATGTTCTTTCGACTCAATCAGCAAGACGTGTTTATGTTTAAGCTAACTTACTTGAGAAACTAAATATAAATTAATAAAACTATATGAATTTTCGTTTAACAAATTATTTTCAATTTGAATGTTATATTAAATATACTAGTCTCTGCGATACGTCTTACTGAAACATGTTTAAAGCTTTCAATTCTATATACTTTCGTCGAATGATACTGAGTATTTATCAGAAGAATGACTTTTATTGAATGGATACTGAAATCTTTAATGATAATGATAATGAATCTTTAATAATAATGTAAAATAACACTACTTCGGTCGAGTATTATAAACGTGTTCTATTAAGTTGACTTCCAATACGTAAATAATCGTACTCTTCGCGCTATAATCTATTAAGTAGATCAACTTCGAAATTGCCTGGATTTTCGATAGTTTAGAGAACTATCAGAGATCTATTAATGATGATAGAACAATAAAGCTAACTGAAAATTCGACTCTGGCCATAGGCAGTGATCGATACGATTGATTTCAAACGTCTCGAATGATTTTTCGGTACCCTATTACTTAATACATGCGGTAGAAATATTGCTAGATTTCTAGAGAACACTAATTCTTTGCTTCCGAACATGATTTACAGATTTGTTTCACTCAAATGTAATTCGATTTTTTATCAGACTAAAGTATTGAAATTTCTTGCGTAAATATTTCAAAGTTTGTCCTAAGGAATCTAAGAACATAACTATCCGAATTGTATGTGAATGAAGAATTTTAAAAATGAGCGTAGAAATCAACGAGCGAATAAAGTTAAAGTTAACTGAAATTTTTTCTAAACTCTAAACTGACTAACTTACACGAAAGGATTGTATCAAGACTTGTACAGAAAAAGCTCAGAAGTTCTGTTTCCAGCTGTCTCTAAATATTCTACCGAAAACTTTATTTCTCATTAATTACTCTCCTGAATACATTTTAGTATTTAAGTTTTCAGTATCGTTCCGATATACTCCAAATCAAAGCGTAATTAAATTACATTTGTCCAAGACAATGTATGCAGAATAATAAACTGAATTTTACTTACAAACTTGGATCCATATTTAAAGTACAGATAATAAGTTAATTGAATGCAGAATTAATTTGTTGAATCGTTAGTCTGTTTCTAGATATTCGCGCAATCGATATCCGTTAAACAGATGATGCGTTTAATTGTTCGGTATAATAGTGTAAATTTGTAATAGGTAAAATAATGGTTTAAACGGAAATTATGTTCCCGTCAAGCGATACGAACTCGTTAAACACGATACCGCAACTTTCATAACCGATAATTGGTAATTCATTATTGACACGAGTAATTGGTAAACAAAATCTGATTGAAATATGTAACTAATCAGTTCGATATAGCAAAGTGCATTGTCAGAGTAAACAATGAGAATTTTTTTTGATTTTTCTGGTTACTTGAACTTTATATACATATAATAGCGAATTTCTTTATACTTTATCTAAATGGGAATAGCATAGTACCTATAAACTTATTCCGATTATTGACATTTTTAACGCTTATTGAATACGATTCACTGGAACCGTGAAATAACTGCTCCTAGACCATGCAATAGTTAAATGAGAAATATTACTAACTACTGTAACTTCGTTGGACAATTAATTAAGAGTAACTGTCAAGCCATTTTACGAATATATTTACTTCTTTTGTTAAATGACAAAACACAGTAACTCGCAGATTGTGTGAACTTTTTATATATTTTATTTAATAAACAAGAATTTTTTTTTCTTTCACTACGTTTGTATCAATATAAAACATATATTGAATGAACTTGAACAACATCAAATTATTCACTAGATTGTTCAAACAGTTATTGCTCGTAACACTGCAATTATTTTTTCATGGTTCCATAGAGCAATATTGAAACTATATATGTAATAACAAATATTAACCAACGAACGAACTGTAATTTGAATGATACAACACTAGCATCGAGAGTGCAATAAAGAACAAATAATAGCTGCTTAAATTAGATCGTTCAAGTAGAGCAATTCATTTTCTTGTGTTAAAAATTGAACGTGACGTGTGCAAACAATAAGTACATCATCAACCGATCTGAACAATTCTGTGAGTCACTGTACATGCAAGGAAGCGGCGACGTCGCTTCCCCTAATGCAATAAACAACGAAAACTCGGATTACTTAATAATAACCAATAAAACGAAAAAGAAAGAAAGGCATGCAAATATCAATTAACACTACTGAATAAAACAAAATCAGCAGAAAGGACGTTCTGTCTATTGCCCACTCACTTAACTCGCACTTGAATGAATCGAGTACATTTGTACACGTATGGTCTCATCTGTGCTGTGTGCGGTGTGCGTGTTACGTAGAGAGAAAGTCTTTTATGCGTTCTTTACAGAGAAAGAGTGGAAGTTGGTGGTCTGAACTTACAACGTCGATTATTTGCATTAGTGTAAGGCCGAAACTCAACACGAGGGGGTCGGACTCATTGCCCACAGGTCGCTCCAGCACGTTGTACGAATCCAGCAGGTCGTTTAGCAGCCGTTTCTCGTGTAAACCGCCATTTACCAGCCCTAACCAATTACCATTCTTGAGTCATTATTGTACAACCACTTGCAACCACTCTAAACCACGGCCATCATTACCGAGTCTCCTCTCTTTTTTCCCCGCTCCACGTTTCAGCAATTCGCATATTTGTTCCAAGTTTCGCGACAGACCCGATCGATCAATTCCAGCGCGAAATCTCTTTCAGGGCAATCATATCGACGTGAAACAGCAAGTCCCGATACGCTAGATTTTTTGCAGTGTTGCGTACGTGGAACGCGGAAACGTTGGCGTGGTTCAAAGTGTATATATGTTTGAGACTGCGAGGCCTCGTTTGATAGACATGTATAGAGTACCATTGTAATGAAGAATTTGTTCTGGTGCTCTTATACAGTTATCCGACTTCGGCGTGACAAATTAATAAGATTACCGAATTAGATATTAAACGACGAAATGGTAGGAAACATTGGAGGAATAATCGTAGCAGTGGTAGCAATCGCACAGGAATGGACGACTTGGGAACGTACAGCAGAAATGATGAAATACAAAATTGTAAAGACATGAGAAGAATTTAAGAATATTGTTGCGTTATTATTGGCTTGTTCAAGTTAACAAAGGAGATCAGTTCATCTTCAATTCATTTCTAACCCTGCTACATTCCTTGTGTTCAGCTTTGCGTTCGATAAACGAACACTGTTTTTCCATGCATTTGAAGAAAATTAATTTCTTTTCGCGAACATTTCTTTCACACTTTGATTTCTTATCGCCAATTTGCACTATTTTGTACTTACATAAGTTCGATAAAAGAATTAACGTTGAAAAAGCAGGTTCGAAAATACGTGTAAGAAAGTTAAGTATTTGAATGGATCTAGCCGGAAACTCGTTAAGCATCGTATAAACATTAAAATTTAATTATCTTTGTGGGTCGGTTCACCGTAATCCCAAATAAGAACGTAATTGACAGGAAGAAGCAACTGGGTTAAAATGAGATATTAACGCGTTCATCACCCTCTGACGCATGAATGGATGTAATGATCTTAAACGAAAATATTAATAGGTCACACGTGACTGAACATGAAACTGGATGACATTTTGTAATTAGGAACATGAACGGGTTATGGATTAGTGTCTTGATAGTGTGTCGTAAAATGAAAATATTCACGAAGTGTGTAACAAATGAAAATGAGCCGTTTATTTTGAAAGTGGCATAAGTCACTTTACCGTGATGAAAAGTGGTGATTTTTTAATGTTTATACGAAATTATTTATACTGAGAAAAATATCAGTATCCTCAGATAACAAATCCAAGTAAATCTACTCGAAAGCTAGCATCCATATTTTTAAACGTGTTAAAACGCAAACCCTTAAATATATCGACTTAAAAACAAAGTGACTTATGCCACTTTCAAAATAAACGACTCAAATATTAAATTTAACCTCTGGCGAGAAGTGGTTCATCGGATTATCCGTGCATCTGTTCTGTAAACTATTACACAGCGCACGTGAAATTTAATTTAATTAACGATGATGTAAATAGAACAATTATGTCGTCTTTTAGAAAGGTGATGTTGAAGGAATTGTACAATTATTAGATCATTAAGTATAAAATGCATACTTCACTCTATAATTTTATTATAAAATTCATGCATTCCATACTTAATGATGTAATATTTCCATTCTCTTCTTCGTTTTGAGTATCGAAATGGTTCCAACGATTTCGCAAATTTAAATCCGCATTCTAGTTTGGTGAAGAGATTATTGCAAATGTCCGGAACTAGCCGATTTTATTTCCGCAATACTCGAACGAAGTCACGTTTCCTTTTCAACGTGTATGCAAGTAACTTGTTCGGGGATTACGTTGACAATCTTGATCGAACATTTTCTGCCAAAGGTAGTAAACCTGGGATTAACTGTTGTAGCTCTATTATCGGTGACAGGCCCTCGTCCTATTGATATCGTGTCGGTTCGCGTCGCGTCGTCGTCGGCGAGAAACGAATGAACAGAAAAAATGACGGCGATACAAATTCCAGTGGACTGCCTTCGAGAACGTTTATCTTCCCTCGGTTTATTCCTATGCAGTCCCTCTCAGTTCACTCGTTCTTAGAAGCCACCCCACGAAAGTTCCGAACTACTTCTCTCGAATAGACAACTCCGTCATCTCTCGGTCTCTCCCTTCTCTCCTCCCTCACCCTCTTCCTTTATCCATCCGACAGAGTTGTGCAGAATTACGATTGAATTACTCGAGGAATTATAATTACGAAACAATTCAATTACATTGTAATTCAATAGCATTCTAATTTGTAATTCAGATCGCCGTGCAATTAAATTATAATGCAATTTGTAAATGCAATTGGAATACAATTATAACGTACCGAGTAATTGCAATTGGAATACGATTACAATGTACCGAGTAATTAAATTATTAATTACGAATTACGATGCAATTGAATTATATTAATTACAAATTGCGATGGAATTGAATGAAGATTGCGAATTACGATGTAATTGAATTGAGATTGTAAATTACGATATAATTTAATTAAGATCACGAATTAAAAAATAATAAATTAATAGCTAATAAGAGGAAAAAATCGCAGAAGAGAAAAAAAAATGAGTATTCGAAAGAAAAACATTCAATTCTTCAAAATTCTGGACAGCAATTTGAGGAACTGTGTCTGAACTACATTGCATTTCGGTTGTATAGTATTTGATTTACTCTCGTGATTAAAATAATTAGCAATTGAATTAATTGAATGGTTTAACTTGTGTAACCGAATCACTATGTAATTGAAGTACAATGTAATTAAATCGCGAAATTGAATTACGATGTATTATCGAATTAGCACAACTCTGCGTCCCGATTTTCTCTCTGTTTGCAATTGTCAATTTTACGCTTATATCCCCCCTCCCCTCTTCCGTTGCAATATTATAGTTGTAACTCCACAATCTTGATGAACTATTTTTGATACGTGCCATGGAATACTATCTAATATAGTGTAATAATTATGTTACGCTAACATATTGTTGACCGGCAATTTGAAAACGTCTGGGCATAAGAACACGGTCATCAATGTGTTAATATGGACAGATTGAAATAGTATTTGTATGTTTAACGTTTTGTTAATGACTTTAGGCTCTTTAATAGTTGAATTTATGTGGATTGCCAAAATATTTGGCCACTGATTAACGACGGAATGTAAGCATGAGAAAATTCATTTGATTCGTACATATTGACATATTATTAATATCTAGCTATTGTAATTTGTTTACGTATGTTACATAAAAATATGTAGTAACTATTTTGCACGTTATTGCGGTACGTATCGATTCATCATTAATTTCGTGTTATTCCATTCAATAACAAAAAAATAATTATGAAATGGAAAACAGATAACTTTTGTCAATAATGTTGTCGAATCTTTCATCTCGATCGTTCGTAAACAAACAACTTTAGAAAGACGAACGACTGTTTAATGAGCAAACTAAATAAATTAAATTGAGTATGTGTTTGAAAATTAAATTTTCATTGAAAAAGAAATTTCCAGATGGGAATTAAATTTCACAAGAAATAAGGTTGACACAAGAATATAGCTACTAAATTAGTATTTAAATCACGATCACATTCAGAATACTAAATACGTGTAAAATTTAACCCTATGCACTCGAAGCCATTTTAACTTTAAAAACAAACACACTTTTTCTAACCCATAGTAATTCACTTTTCTACAATTACTTTCATTTTATACATACTTTCTCGTACAATGCTGACATGTTTAATAATTTACTGAATATAGACAAATTTAATAGTATACAAATTCTTTTGCAAATTGATATAACAATAATTAGTGGTGCCTCGGAATTGCCATACAACCACAAAATGTTAAAGAAGTATAATGGTTTCCAAATGAGTACCAAAAAGATCTATGTATAAACGAAACAAAGAAGACGTCTGAAAGTTGTCTTTACCAGAGTCTACAGAAATCTTGCTTAATTTTTCTGTTGGAGTTATTTCACCTACACATATACCATTTCACACGTACACTGTTACCCACGCAATACTACGGCCACGATGGTCGCAACAGTGATGACGTTTCACGTGGTCGGTAATTTCACGCGCGAACATACATTCTTAAATGTTACGACCCTGTCTCGTTGGTGGCTACCTTTCGGATGCTATTCCAATTACGAGAATTCCGTTCCATAGGGAAAATTTCGCGCGCTGATCCGCCGTCGCATTTGGCACAAAGCGAACGGTATCGTTAGCATCCGTGTTTGTGATGCGGAACACCCTACATTCGGCTTGCCGTAACGCATATATGTACATACGTTATGCCCCTCGATATAGAGCCATCGTGTTGTTGGCTCGGAACACAAAGGCCGAAACCGAATTTTAAAGCGTACCGTGACATTCATCGTGTGGCAGTCCGGCCAATCCGTCGTAACATTCAAGAATCTTCGACGACTCACTATTACACCGCATTCCGCGCGTGCAGAGTCAGGCAAAATGTAATTTGTCTCACGTTTAACGATTATAACCTGATTGCGGATCTTTGAGCAGAATGCACCTTGCCCGCGTCAATTGCATGAAACAAAAATCAAATAGAAATTTCTATATATTTCCTTAATGATTTCAATAAGCTGATGTTAATACGTCGACGACACTCGTGGACACTTTGAATCTGTCTGCTGATTTAAATGGTGTCAACTCATTTTTGTGCATAAAATCAGGAACTAATGTAAAATCATGTTCGTCATGAATGATTCCGATTACTAAGTAATCTAAATAATCATGCTCATCGTTAGTTATTACAATTACTGAGTAATCCAGTAATCATGTTGATAATTAATTATTACGATTACTGAATAATGCAGTAATCATGTTGATAATTAATTATTACGATTACTGAGTGATCCAGTAATCATGTTGATAATTAATTATTACGATTACTGAATAATGCAGTAATCATGTTGATAATTAATTATTACGATTACTGAGTGATCCAGTAATCATGTTGATAATTAATTATTAC